GAAATTATTTTTTAAAAAGTTAAAAAATTAAGCTTATTTATATAAATATTCCTATATATCAGAAAAAAACTCAAATAGTACATTAAATCAATATTATTTTAGCAAATCAGTTTAATCTAAAAGTTCAGTTAATTAGAATGATAATACCATTGTATCTTAGGAATGATAAAACTATCATTTCTAAGAAATGATAAAACTATTGTTTCTTAAATACGATAATACCATTGTCTCTAAGAAACAATAAAAAATTGTCTTTAAGGAATGATAAAACAATTGTCCCTAAGGAACGATAAAACCATCGTCCTTAAGGAACGATAATACCATTATATTTTAAGAACGATAAATTATCATACTTAAGATACGATAAATGCATCATTCCTTAGAAATGATAATACCCTATCATTCTAATCAGATGTCAATTAGTTATAAATAAGATAGGTCAAATTTTGATATATACCAATCGGCTATAAGTATACCAATCAGCTATAAATAAAATAGGTCAAATTTTGGCTGATTCTTGACCGATTTCTGATATATGCCAATCGGTTAGGTTGATTTTGATAATTTGCCAAATTTAGGTTAAATTTAGGCTAATTTTAGGTTGATTTTTGCATATCTAATTTTTTTGATTTCGATCAGTGTGAGTGAAGTAAAAAATAAATAAATTGATTGGTTTATTAATAATTATACATGAATATGAAATATATTATTTTAGTATTAATCCTATAGTTTAAAAAATTCGTTGCATATACTTACAGTTATTGTTAAAATCTGAGAAATCTATAATAGTTAACCCTTTATCAAAAGTAGTAATATAACAAGATTTGAACATGTTAATTTCTAGCAAATTACATAAATATAATTTGCCTTTTTCTTTATATTTATATCATGTATATTCTGAAATTTTAACAAAGTATACATAAATGTTGATATTATCTTTAGTAGTACAGTAATATTTAGGATTTGTTAGATATTTTAGCATAATAGTCTAATCACTATAACTAACAAATCTATAATCTTGCTGATACAATTTTATAAAAGCAACTATATATGCTACAGTAGTTAATCGAATATATAACTAGTATTTCTTCTTTTCTACCCAATCACTAGGATAATAATATTTATATTTCTTGTACTTTATGATTTGTTTAGCTAGATATTCTTTAATATATTTTTGAGTAATATTTTAGTTATATGCTTTTTTAATGTAATCGAGATATTTATTAGTATGCAAATCATATTCTTCTTGAGTCAGAGGATTTATTTTCCTTTTACCAGTTGAAAGTATATCTAAATATTTCTTTCTATCAGAAGTACCATCATTTTTCATTATATTCCAAATTGTTTTATCCAAGTTTTAGATCTCAACTTATAAGTTTTCCAAGTCTGTTGGATAACTTTTGCACTATTAATTAATCAATATACAACACTTTTCTTAATTTCTTTTGAAATACGAGAATAATAAAATTCAGAATTTTTTCTGTATCTAAAATAAATATTACCATAAATTTCATCAATCTCATTATCACTTAGTTCTCTTTTTTTCACATTCTTTTGTATAGGGTTAGAATATGCAATACGCCTTTTGGCTATTTTAGCAATGCATTCATTCAGATATTTATTTGCACATTTAATGGTATTTTTACAGATAAACACCAATGAGTCGTATACAATGCAATAAATATGAAATGAGCGTTTCCTAGCTTTAAATTCCCATCTTTATATGATTTTTCAATCATTTGAATAAATCTATTCTTAGAAGTATTTTGGGTTATATTCAAAAAGTTTCTTAAATGGATAACAAATATGAGAACACTACATTTCTGGTGTTTTATTACTATACTTATATTGCAGATTATTTAACGCCTGCATTACTATAGGATTTAAACTATTATAGTAGTTAGTTTTAATCATTTTATGAGTATAAGCAATTTAGTTGTTTTATAGCATTTTTAGTGATTATAATGAGTTTTATCCTACCAGTTCCTGCTAGTTTCACGATACTGCTGAGTTATCATAAATCACGAGATGATTGGCTAATCATATAGGTTAATTGCTAGGAAAATCAGGTTCTGGAAATTTTTTAACAAAATTGAGATTTTTATTGCATTTTAATTTTTGATGTTATTAGATTAAAATGTATTAAGCTTTTAATTTAAGTGAAAAATTTCTCAGAATCTGATTTTCCTAGAAATCTTTCCATATTCCTGTATAACTAAGCCACCATTATTATTTTAATAATCTAATACATCACACTTTGAGTTTCATTCTACTCCAAAAAAAGAAACATCTCTTTTGAAATGCCATATGACTTGGACTTCATAGCAGTTAACGTGCTGTCAAGCAAGTTTTTTATGGTTCTAGTCGAGAATTTTCATCCTTATATCCTGTGCGATTTACTCTGAAAAATCACGTGCATTCTAATTTTATTTTTGCAGTGGCCAAAAAAAAATATTTCATTCCAACATATGTAAAAAATATATGGGCGAAACTTTATTGATATTTATGTATACCATAATTGCTACTAAGCCTGTCACAACGTTATATGACTTGTAGCGCAGTAACATTCTTACTTTGCCAATACATAATCAATATCGTCTCACTAGTGTTGATACCGTGAATAAGGTAGGATAGGCTGAGATGCTAATTATACATGCATAATCACTTACGCGTTCTGTTTCAGAATACCAATCATTTTTGCCAAAAAAAATTTCTAATGTGTTTATTACTAAATAATCAGTAAATGCGTTGAACATTTTAATATTTTATTTTTTCTGATGCATCTTCATACCCTCTCATACCATCCATACATGTTAAAAAATACTAATGCAAATGCTAAACTTTGAGCTGTCACGCAGGTTACAGATGCTATTTAGGTTATCACGTTATATGACTTGTGGTCAGTAAATTAACAGAGGAAAATTAACATTGATCGCTGTGTGTGTGTATATTGCTTTATTTTTTTAGGTGTGGTAAAACATGCTGGAACTTCATCAGAATCAGTATTTATGATAAAAGAATGAACAGAACTAATCCATATATGGGATCTTTGCAATAGAAAAGGGGGAAACAGCTGAAAAAAATCAATTTTACTTTTATATGCCAAATATGATTTTTAGGTCAAAATATGTTCAGATTTAGCATTAATTCAATTTTTATTTTTCCAGCCATTTCCTCTTTTCTATTGCAAAAGTTCCATATTTATATTAAATTAATATTTCTGCCGTGTGCAAGGTTAATTTGTATCATAAAACTTACTGCTCAAATTTCAGTTGCTTTCCAATATTATAAAGCTTTTCTTCTACAAACCTTCCACTTGATAATTTTCACATGATGTTGTTCTCCATCTTCAAATAAACAATTTCAATCTCTGTTCATCCTGTATCGCTCAGCTTGAATGGCCCCAACTACATAAAATTGTTTACCTTTCAAAATGACATAATGTACTTCTACAACTCACCTTTTTCTCTTTCTTATCTACGTAGTCCTGAGCTTCAGCAACAACATTCGATTCTTTAGATTCTTCAGATACAAGTTCCTCAGATTCAGATTCCTCAGATACAGGTTCCTCAGATTTAGATTCCTAAAGCCAGAAATTTCCAAAACTTAATCAATATCCTCTGTACATATAATAAAAAAGAATCATTACCTCTTCTGATTTGTTTTCATCTTCTATAGGCCTGGGAAGTGTATAAATTGCTGAGGAGGGTTCATCACTGAAAGTGACGATTCTAATCTGTGCACATCCAAAAGATGAGAAGGCAGACTATAAAAATAAAAACATGATAGAAAAAAATAAAATTACCTTATCTTCTGGTATACATGGCCGTTCAGGTTCATTCTAAAACATAATAAGTTTGGTCATTATAATGGATAGAAACAAAGTTAGAAATCTTTAATCCTGAGCTATGAATCTTGTTTAAGATGCTCACAAGCTTTTGTTTTTCCCTCCATTTGCTGGTATTACTTCTGCATTATCATCACTGGTAGCATCGATAAGCATATCTTTTAAATCTGTTTCGATCACATTAGACTTGGAAATAGTAGATGTCTGTAGAGCGATATAATGAATTGCTTCTTGGTTTCTTAGTCACAGCTCCATCCTCATGATCTTGAAAATTTTCTGCGTGAGATAAGGCCTAGATATTATAAAGAAAAAATAAAAAATTTGCTACGTAAAACTGATCACATTTGGAAAGAAATAAAAACATCAATTTTAAATACTAACTCAATTTTGCCTGCTGGTCTGCTTCTCGGTATACAGATCTTCAATTTCATAAATCTGAGATTCTCCTACCAATTTTGCCAACTGAAGACCCCTATTATCAAGAATACCTTTAACTAATATCTATTAAGTTAATAATTGACATTAAATATTGTGTAAGAATTGTGAATCACTAAAAGTTTCACAAAGCCTGAATATTCAAACAACAAATCTGATTTTGTTGATTAATTATCGATGTTCAGAATGTTTGTAAGTAGTTCACATCTTTAAATTTGAGATTAACCTTTTAAAAAAAAATATAAGTTAGCATTATAAGTATATTGTGGCTTCAACTTACTATAAGAAGCTTAGGAACGCGAAGAAAAATAAGTCGCGCATAGTAGAACTAAGATTTCACTTATACTCTATCCATGATTTACATGTCAAGAGTTGTTTATACCACCACTTGGGCTGGGATTTCACCCATGCTTTGGATTCATGATTTACATGTCAAAAGTTGCCCTTCTGTAAAAAAACTAAAACTAATAAAAAATATGTTTACCTTTTTTATCACTTTATCTCCCAAATTTTCTATTTCTAGAAAGTGTTGACTCCATGAACTGTGATTAGCATTCCAAGTCTTCGCGTATAGTGGAATCATTTTGATAGCTTCTTTGTTGGAGTTCAGGAAATGTAAGTAGGATATGTTTTCTGAAGGAGTATTAGAAACATAGTCATAAAGAACTATAAGACGAAAAATAATTAATATCTTTATGCAAACCAATAAAAGAAAGATTATCAAAGATTACTGAAATGACCAAGGAACCTTTCTTTTAATATAGACATTTGAACGTAGAGATTTGCTTTGAATTAAGAGTTATAGGATATATATGAGATTTGATTATCACGCAGATTAGATTTAATCGCAACCCACTTTTGTAATTGTGATGCAAACATCACGTGTCACTTCATAATACTGGCTAATTTTCTGTTTGATTCACTGCCTTAATATCTATACTAACTATAAGTGAAGATTACTTTTTCGATTAAATCAGCAAGTGGTCTAGAATGACTTTATTTCAGGTATATAATTCAGATCATTTCCTTGGGAAACAGTTTTTTGCTATGAAAAAAATTGAATATGGGTTAATATACTGTAGATGCGTAGATGCAATTATGTGAACACTTTTATGACACATAAAATGATTTATTTTTTTGATAACACTGCGAAACTTTATTCAAGTACACAAATCATAAAATATAACAGATAATGAAATTTATGATGCTATCATATGATAATACTTTGTGAACTTCATCGACTATTAGGCTTTGACGCACATGTTTTTGTAATTCCGTATCTGTTACTGCAAGGCTTCTGGACTGGGTCTCATTGGCTGATAGTATAAATTGAATTTCTTTTATTCTTTTTACGGATCATAATCTGTGTTATCTATAGATAAGCGGGTGAATTCAAAATTTCGAAGATAGATCAGAAACAAGTCATCCACGTGATTTAAAAAAAAGAAATAATCTATACGATATTTCAGTCTATGCGAATATGTGATTTCGCTTGATAATTCTCCTAGACGGTTACCGGAAAAATAATAGAACTCATCATTAGAGACCCTTTCTTTTCGTATCTTTCATCACGATAATAATAGCCTCTATCACATTCAGCATATTTGTTATATACACCATATCTGTTATATCCATTATCATCTGAATTGTCTGGCATCTCTTCTTCAGAATCATCAGAATCAGAATCATCATTACATGAATTAGAGTCACCATCATGTGTATTATCTGGTCCTAGCTAAAGACGCTGAAGCAAAAGGACCTCTTTATTCCTTTCTTCTTCTGACTCCTTAAAATACATATCATCAGCTGAAGAAACAGTGTTCACTTTAGTGGGATTTGTCTCATTGAAAAACATATTTTAATCAAACCATGCCTCTTCTTTGGAATTATCAGAAGAATTTTGAGCAGGTTCTCCAGCTGAAATCTCAGTTATGTGACTTGATACTTCTTTCACATCAGTATTATCGTTATTTTCATTCTGGTTATTATACTTAGAGAAATTATCTATGATATCTTGAACTTTATCATTAGTCAACTCAGAAATAGAGTTTGCACTATATATTGTAATATACTTAATATTGTCTACGCCTACCTTTTCAAATAATTTATATATCTTTACAGCTTTCTGAGTTTTTCTTTGTAAGTTTTGATGGAAGATTTCTAGAAGACACAATCCTGTCTCTCCTTTTCCATCTTGTATAATTGTACTAACCTGAATTAAAAATTCTTTTTCATAATAATACCAACGCAAAATCTCTTCTGATTAATATGAATTACGTCATATTCAGTATTATCCACCTTATTGAATAATTACGCTAAAGAAAATAATGAATCTGTAGATGAATCTTAGTTGAGACTCTTAATTAAAATCACATTGCAAAGAGTGACTTTGTTACTTGATTGGGCATCATCTTTAATACTATTAGCTATCATTTGTACAATGTTTTCTGTACCTTTCTTCCTATAGCTATTTTGGCTAGGATCTCAGCTGAAATTTTAGTTTCAGAAATTGATACCTTTGGTATGATCCCTTTGAGATCAAAAGTGTAATTTTCTACAGTTAATCTGGTATCAGATTCTTGTTTTTGATAAGAGGATACTTTACTAAATTTCTTTCTTTCAACTTAGCTCTCCTGATTTCTCTACCTAATCTTATTACTAATTTTTTTCTTATGCATCTCATTCAAGAAAGCATCTGTTTCCTTATCTTCAAGTAATAAAGTATCTACTAATAGTTTCTCGTGATGTGTTACCATTAGTGTTTGATCTGCAACTAAATTAAAATTAAATGAACAGATGTTAGAAGAATTATCATTTAATGTCTGCTTTTATTCTACTTTTGTGAGTCTATCTCTAACTTCAATATTTTCAGATTTCAGCTCCTTGATTCTGATTCTGGGTTTGATATTTTCAGCATTATGCCTTTCGTTATATTTCTCATTCGCTTTTAGAAACTCATTATTTATACGTTTAAGTTCAGCTATTTTAGCATCAGATATTGAGAGCTTTCTTTTAAGATTAACTTTCTTAACATCGAACTCTGAGAGATTTCTTCTAAGATCAGGTATTTCAGCATTCTCAGCCTTAAGTTCAGTAATATACTGTTTCAATACTTTAAGCTTAGATAACATGATCTATATGTGTAACTAATATACTATATAAAATAAAAAAATATGTATTTTTAGCTAGGAGTTTCAGCTGAAATTTACTAAGAAAATATTATTTTTTGATAAATTTTTTGATTCTAGCCTCTTGATAGTTAGAAAACTATCTATACTAATCCTATTCTTTAATAACTCTACAGTGATACTAATTACTCTTTTCACATTGTTGTGAAGTAATTCAGGATTTTCTTTGACAGTTGATTTCATGAGATTAATCTGGTATTCCACTTTCACTTGTATAATAAATACCATCTGAAGTATATATTATAAAATGCCACTTTATACCTATGGTCATAAAACCATAAATATAATCAAAATAGTTATTCTCAAATACTTAATCTGAAGTCTATTTCTTTTTATTTGTCTGAAATACTTTATATCTTACTATTGGAAAGAAAAAGTCAAGAAGATATAAGACGCAATTAGTATTGTTATCTGATACTAAAAAAAAATAATAAACAAAAGTTAATATATTTTCTTTTTTGAATATATGTAAAAATTAATATATCACACAAAACCCTAATTGATGATCCATATTTTCTATTACACAATCTGACTGAAGGCACTGTACATGGCTTAGCAAAAAATTTTCTAAGCTAATGATCACTGCTCCAATTGATGATCAGTATTTCAGAAATAAATTTGAATATATGCTAATTAGAGATAAACATAATCATGATAAGTAATACTAATAATAAATTTGTTCAAAGCGAAATACTTGAAAACTAACTATATAAGTGCTTTTATACAAGAAGATGGATGTATTAGCTATTAAGGAGCATCTAGCCAAAAGAAATCTTAGTATTAATAACAATGCTAACCAAATAGCATTAAATCAAAGCAAGAAAGCAGAAATACTTGATTATACAAGTAGACTATTATTTAATTTGGTGGAGATAATTATATTGATAGAGAAGCATCTTGAGATTGGTAAACATCTAACTCTTAATACATTATATTGATATAGAGAAGATCTTATTAATATATCATTAGGAAAATTTTCACTTAAAGAAAAATACTATTTGCTTTTATATCTGGAAGAAGATATAAGCATTATTTAACATTATCTTAGTATTGTCAGTTATACTGACAAAGAAACAATAAAAGAAGAAGCTGAGAAAGATGTGAGAGTATATATTCAAAAGTTTAGACGTTCTAAGTGTAGTAATACAGAAATTCATTAATAAAGGGTAAAATACTAATCTATATTTTTGTCATACAGGGTATAATTCAGCAAAAAAAATCTAATTAATGATCATGCAAAATGCCTTTCGATTCGCTCTAGACTAGCTAGATTATTTAGACTCTAATTCAGTTTTAGAGTTAAAAGATTCTGAATCAGAACAGTAATAATCTTTATCAAAATTTTCTATATGAATATTTAGATTTAGCTAGTCTATGGCTTTTTTGCTAATATTTTCACATTTTTTCAAATCTAGAAATTTTAAATTGAAATATAAGCAAATAATTTCTTTAATAGTTGTACTAGTAATATTGCAATATTTAAAACTGAGATACTGAATCTTTAAGCAAGAGCGAATAATATTGTAGAATGATAATTCACTAACAAATATACAACTACTTAGATCGAGATATTCTAATTTATGATAAGAATGGGCCAGTACTTCAGTCATCTCATCACTAATATCATTATGACTGATTTCTAAATATCTTAAATTCAGAGATCCTTTGATGATAATTATAATCAATTCATCATTCCACAAAGCCATAGCCCCACTAAAGTCAAGATACTTTATTTTGAAGTATCTTCGCATTAAAGTATTAGCATCTTTGATATTCTCCTTACTATATGCAATATCAAAATTTCATAAATTTAGGTATAAGTTTAAAATGCAATTTATAGCAGTGTTAGATTTTGGACTTGTCCAATTAGATATTTGTATTAGACAGTTTTTGGACTGTCCAAAATTGTCCAAAACTTTGATGGATTTTGGACAGTCCAAAACTGAATTTTGGACAATTTGGACAGTCCAAAAATCATTTTATACAATCTAAAAACTAAATTGGGAAGTTATTTTAAGGAGATAAATAATCATTTTTTTTACTAAGATAATCTTTTCAATTTTTTTGATATTATGCCACGCAATAGAGATCAACCAAGATATAATTTTTCTTCATTTATTACAATTTTAAAAAAAAATTGTCTAGAAGATAAAGATAGATAATGTATATGCAAATGCTGTGCTGAAATTTTAAAAGAGGGTGCTAAACCTATGATAAACAGAAAGGAAAGAATTAAAAAACACTTGGTTAACTGCGTATATTTTTAGAATAAATATAGTGAAGAAGCAAAAGACATATTAAAAGAATGTGATAATAATGATGATGAAATACTACCAGCAAAAAATATATGTCTTGATGGTTAATATTTATTTAATTTTATTTAACTTTCTTTTTTTAAGGAATATTAATTAATTTATAATTTTATTATAGATGATTCCTCATCTATTTTAAGTTTTCATACAAATTCTACACAGTCATCATCAGCTTCAAGTAGATTTTCATAACAATCATCCATATTTAAATATGCTATACAAAGTATTACTAAAACTGAAACTCCTAAATTTTATGAACTTTTAATTA